CCACTGTTACTCATGCGGTCCAAACCAGGCACACCGTGTGTCAGTCTGGGGTTATCCCAGGAGGACTTCTGGAGCAACACAGCTCCTCCCTCTTCCCACAAGGGAAGGGCAACAACCTGAGATGCTCAGGGTGCAGTGCACCAGAAGGTCACAGCCAGGACAGTCCTGCCAGCCCCACCTGCCGGAGGGTTGTTCCCTGCTCTGTTTGCCAGGAACCTGCCTTCATTTCCCTGCACAGCTGGAAACTGTTCAGGGCTGGATGGAATTAGCACACGGGCACAGAGCTACCATATGTTCAGGTTTCCCTAGACTCAACCTGTCTTTCTGCCTGGAAATTGAATGCAGATGGGATTTGAGGTCTCTGGGGCATCCATTGTGCGTCCTTGGACAAGTGACCACGGTGCATGAGGGGACCAGCACACACATAGTTATCCGGGAAATCCCAGACAGAAATACAGGAATCAGGTATGTTGAACCACACCACTTTATCCTTCTTGAGACAAGGAAGAGTGACAAACTGCAGAGAGATGCTGGGAAAGCCTTGTCAAAGTAACACAGCCGTGGGAGACCTTTTTCCACCACTCAGGCCTCACCTTCAGACAGTGGGGACACACGTGGGCATTGAATCCTGGCACAACGAAATGTAGCAATTACTGATAATTTTAGCCTCAAGATGTGCAGTAATGCATCATGCTAGCTCTAGGTTTCTACTCCATGCCTCAGCTCACAGGAGCAGTAGAACGGTCTGAGTCAGCCAAGGGGCAGAAAAACATCACTTTCAGCAATGCTGCGTGATCAAGGGGACCCTTGAGGGGTGGAAAAGGTCAAGAATTCCCCTATCCCAACCCTGGCTTCTCACTGCAACTGTGGCAAATTAACTCCTCTGTCCTCATCTGTAAAGAAGAGATACTACCCACCTACCTCCTCACAGGAGGGCACAGAGCTAATTGCCAGGGACAATTAAGACTCTGCCCCAGAACTTATTACATCAAGAAATTAAATAGCGAATGAAGCAAGGCTCTACAAGTGTCACTGATCTTTGACATCTGGAGCTTCCAGCCCACTGAGGTCTTAACAGCAGCAGTGTTTAGTCTGACATCTAAACGTTCTTCACTGGTAAGAGCTCGCTGTATCCAACAAGGGTGCATCTGCACAGTTTGGGTGACTGGGAGCCTTGCCTTTCTGTCTGTCTGAGCAGCACCTACCAAGCTGATGGGTCCTAAGAAATAAATAATGCGCCACTGTAAAGTACATTTGTATTCATACATGCCTCATTTTTCCAAGCAGTAATCAAGAGTATTATGTTACCTATGGTCAAAATGATTAGTCATGTTTCCAAAGATTAATTTACATGTTCTTTTGTTTAATGCGTACAAACTGATTTAATGGCTGCTTATGAACTGAGCTAACAGTCATTTTGAGAAACAGATGTCCGATGCAGTTTTAAGCATTAAGAGTGCTTTTATTCATATCCTTAGGAGAAAAAGGGCTACACAGTCTACAGTAATAACACTAATGAATCAAAGTACTACAGCTGCCCAACAGGGTTTTGACAGAAACCAGCTTTTTCTCAAAGGAACTTTTTTTTTTTTTGGACTCTGGGACAGTGAGGAACTGGTAATACGCATGCTTAACGTGTAAGTATGTGCTTTGCTGGAGCCAGAACACTGAATCAAGCCCTATCTGCAACCAAACAATGTGAGGCTTTTGCATAAGCACTGAAAACTGTAACTACACAAAGACAGGGAAATCTGTATGGAATCTGGATCCTCCACATTTTATACAAATAAATATTCAGAAGTTTGAGTGTTTCTGATACTATTTTGTGACGCCGAATGCAGAACAGGTTGTCTGCTTTAAACCCTGATAGATCAGTGTGTGTGGGTGGCAGGGTTAGGATAAAAGAAAGGGAAGAAAAGCTACTAGGAAAGCAGTTGGTGGCTGCAAATCTATGATAAATAAACAGCACATTCCTCTTCTGCACGAACCCATTAGCGTCTGTGTCAGACTTCAACATCCTAACGTCAGCTGGGTGCAAATTCGACGGCCTGGGGTTCTGCAGTGCTCCCTATGGAAAGCAGATTTGGAACAATTTGCCATGCCCCAACAGAGCGTTTCTGTCAAGTTCTCGAGGAGCCTCTAATGCACCAGTTATTCACAGGACCCTTGCAACGAACCATGGGTTTGATATTTTATGGTCTGGTGTGTACAGTGCAGGATATGATTACACACAAGCCTGCTTCCCATCAGCCAGCACCTTGTAATCGTTAACATATTTATCCTTGTGGTGCCTCAAGAAGATGACATTGTTATTAGTCCCATTTTATAGATTCAGAACTGAAGCTCAATAGCTAAATGACTCGCCTTTGATTACACAAGATTTACAGTGAAGGACAGAACTGATTCCCAGCCCTACCAGGCTCAAGGAAGGATCGCACCAGAAGGACTAGATCTATGTGCAGAGCTGTCCTCCATCTCAGGTGCTTGCAAGTTTTATGAAATAACTGTATCTGCACTGGGTTTTGTGCCTTTTGTGTCTCAGCCTTTGCCACTGCAGGTGAACATGGATGTAGATATATTACTACATGCAAAAGCTGAACTCCTAAGGTACATCCCTCTGCAGCAGCTGGAGACAAATCATGCTCGTGTACTTTATAGCATGTTGAGCAACTTTTCTTAAATGCGTAAGACATGCTGAGACAGTGTATTAAGAAAGGCTGAGACCTAATAAGATCTTCCTCTTCTGCTTCATCTATACCTCACTGTGCTGGAAAATATGCTGACACTATGAGTAATCATCAGGTCTGATTTAAGTACCGGTTAGAGTTAGAGGTTGTGAGCAAACACCGCTTGCCAGTGCAAACCACCCCTCTCAGTACAGACAATGTATTGAACAAGTCCCATTGTATCTGCTACGTGAATTGGAGAAGAGAAGCCACTGCACAAGTAGAAAAAGACCTTTTCCAAACTCTTCTCAAAGTAGTCACTAAGGTAGAGAAAGAAAGTATTAGGATACACTGCTGTTTTAAGCTGAAGAGATCTCCTCTATATCTCTGATACTATCACCAGAGTAACCGCTGGCAAGACACACAGCCAATGGCTCTCTCCCCTTAACTGAATTGCTATTATGGAGGAACAGGCTAGCTATCAGCTTCCACAGTGGTAACCATAGACCTCAGAGAAATGTATTGATCTTCTAGGAGGCAAACACTGGGAACCAGCCATTCGTACCACTCAGGCTTCAGGTAGAGTGGGTGTGCAGCTGCTACAGGTAAGGGAGATTTGCAACAAAGAGCACTGTCACAGATAGGAGGCTCCCAATTTTACCTGCCTTCCTCTCTGCCTCAGAACAGTTAAAACCCCATGTAAATATTTGTGTGCTTCATCTTAGACCTCTGCTAACCTTTCACCACTCTGTCTTGAGCGTATCTCCGTTTATCTTACCCTGAATAACGTAAAGCTTTCTTATCTAAGCAACAACTGCCTCCCAGCATTAAGGCTTACCCATCACCTGCCTCCTTGACCTGATGTGCACCCCAAATGTTTCTGGTCATCCCCAACCACTGCGAACTCGGAGCTTTTACTGGGCATGCAACTTCATGCAGGAGCTCAGCATCTGTGAGAAATCCTGCTCAATACTTTTGAGGCTTCCAAGGCTGGGTGTGATTCGAGCAAATCAAATGGTGTAATTTTATTTTTTCAGCAGGGCCAACGGGACCAACCAACTGTCCAGTGGGACCAACACTCAGGCAGGGAAGTACTATTCGAAATCTGAGTCAGGTCAGAATCTGGCTCCACATAATTACTATGTAGCAAAAGTAAGATTATTCCTAAAGCAATAATAAAGCAGCTTGAGGTTTTTTTTTATTAGCACCTATATCTCATATTACTTATTAGTACACAGCATCAGCAACTGACAGAATACTTCCCCCAAAGGACTGGGCAACTCAGAAACATTCATACATAAGGCAGATCAGAAGTCATCCACAAAAAAGGACAAGAGGGTCCTAACCAAGCATGAGGAATATTTTTCTCATGAAATGCTTGAATCAAGAAAGAAACAGGAATTGAAACAGAGCAGGATGCTGTCCCTGCCTCACACTATAGGAAAGAGACGATTTCATAATAATCTTTACTCTTGAAACAAATGTTCATCAAAGACTAGGAAACCAAAGGAAATACCAAGATGAAAGAGTGCAGCAAAGATGCATGCCTTTCTGTATCATTTCGATGAAAACATTAAAATTGATGGGAAGACATTTAAGTAGCAACTGAAATAAGCCTAAGAGGAGAAGGGGAGAAACCCAAAAAGACGGAAGTGCAGATACTGCAGATGGCTTGAAACTGCAGGTAATTTCCTATAGATTCACTGAATTCAGAAGTTACAACTGAGGAGAGATCTACAGGCCCACTTAGTCCCACTTAAATCACCTGTTAGTCTACAGACTATTAGACACCAGGGTAGTATTGGCACGTAATTGCCGCCAGTACCTGCCTGCTTAAGCAAGGCAAGATCAAAGTCACTTAAAGAAGAAAAAAAAAAAAAAAAAAAAAAAAAAAAAAAATCAACATTTTAACCAAAAGGTTTGTAATTATGAACTTTAAAACAAAATGCTCAGGCAAAAATATCAGCAAACACTCATCTGTGCCACCTAGCTCTTTGGATACCATAGCACTGTTTACCACAATACATTTTATAGGGCTCAGTCCAGTCTGATTTCAAACACTGTACATCATGAACAGGAGGTTCTACAGAACACAGTCAGAGCCACTCTGCATTAGCAAGGTTTGCCCTAAACCTTTCAAAATCTGCCTTCCTAAGACCAGCTCATTAACCCAACCTGAACAACTCTTCTTCCTCTATCCTTGCACTTTGCAAGTATTTGCTGCTAGCCTTCCTCTCCCCTTGCCAAGTCTTTTCCCACCCAGCTTTAACTTTGTTTTCCACACTGAGCTCTTTAGCCTCCCTCCTCCCACCGAGTGTGCAGGGTGAAACTTACGGTGCTCGGTCGTGGTTCAACCCGTTCTGTCTTTGTGCATTTATCGGAGGTAGAACAGGTTTGCTGTTTATCTCAAGCCCTCTCCGCAAAGTCTCCCTGATTTGCTCCGTATCTGCAAAGAGAAATTTTTTTAACATGATTTAGAGTCCCCAGAAACATCACAGACACAAGATGTCAGCTTTTTCTTTTAAAGGCCTGTTTCTATGGTGTATTTCATCTAAACTCTTCCCCTTCAGAAAGAAATTAAGAGATGCTAAGGGTGAATTCTTAACAGCTCTTCCTACACCTTAGGAGTTATTTCACTTTATGAAGTCAGCTTGAAATCTTTTGGTTTGGGCTGTGATGTTATGTCAGGCAAGGAGAGCTGGAACCTTTGGTACTGAGCCCTCCTGATGAGGAAATTCTGAGTAGTTTTGTATCCTTTCATAAATGAGGTGTTTGCTGTTTCTGTAGCTCTCATAGAACCTCCTGACACTTCCAGCCTTTGCACTGGAAGTCACTTTTCCCAATAGGCATAACAGGAATTTGTTCCTTTACCAAATGAGGGCAAGGAGGTTCCCAAGTTTTTGCAACTGGCTTTGCAAATCTGCTGATTAATTTACAGTAAGATTCACAAAAGGAAGGAATTTTATGCAGGCAAGCTTTGGCCTCAAGCTCAACATTTGAAAATAAACTGCAAATTATGCAGTTCAGATGTAGTCTTTTTACCTTTTCATTTTCCTACAGTGTCTAATGGCCAAATACTTCAATAGTGTGCTTTCTTAGAAGTCTCATCTTTTTTTGAGAAATATGGGAATCAGGTAGAGAAAAAAAATCCCCAAATTATTTCAAAATCTTTTGAAGGATACACAAATACCACCATGTAGAACTGCCTTGGGCTTTTCATTTGCAGACTGGAGGGAAGATAGGCTTTTTAGATCCAGTGCAGTTCAATGTATTTGCACAGAAGCTAGAAGGAACCCTGTATGCATTTAAATATTTTTACTATAGACTTAAAAACAAGTAAGATACCATTCCTGTGGAAACAACTGTTAATTCCAAGCCCTCAAATTTTACATTGCTTCACCCATTTGAAAGGTAACGTATAATTTCAAGCACATGTAATGGTTATGACATCTGTACCCTGAGATGGCATCTCACTGTAAAGGGGAACGCCACTGTATTTTATTTCTTCTTTCCAGACTTCCATATTTGCAAGAATCACTTGAGTTCAGCTACAGCAATGTGCAGTGTCAGTCCAACTTGCCACCCAAGAAGTGACAATGTTAATAAGGATACACAGCCTAGGAAAACGCAGTTGCTTCACCTTGCAGGTGTTTACAGTCCTGGTTTCACCCAGTGCTCAGTTTAAATTTGCAGATTTGGATTAGAAATAGCCTAAAAACTGAAAGAAACATTCAGACAAAACAATGCAAAGATCTCTTTTGCTCTCTCTCTGCCTTCCTCGAAGAGGCCACAACAAAATTCATTTCGCTCCCCTGAGACATATTGAGCTTTCCAGTAACTGTGTTGTTTGTTATGAACCCCAAGATGCTGCATGACTCAGCCCGCTGCCCAGACTCATCAGAAAACAAGCTGAAAGGCCGTAACAGCGACTCAGCCCAGGACCTCTTACCTTTCCCAGAGAGCCGCCGCGGCTGGGTCCCAATGCAAATGCTCCTGCTGTCTTCATCATCCTCCGGGGGCCGGCTGAGATCATCCCAGGCACATTTGGCACTCACTCCACTCAAGTTTGAGCCATCTGTCTCAATCCCTTTGTCAACTCTCTCCTGCTTGAAAAGATCCAAAACCCCAAGACTTTTTTGGGTGTGGCTTGAACCTGAGCTGGAACCCACCCTGGCTCAACCCAACCTTCAGCAGCTCCTGCATATCCCCCCTTTGCCAGCCAGTGTCCACTCTCCGGCCCCCGTGCTTTGATGAATCAGCTAAGGGTGATGGCCCATTGAGACAAATCAGGGAGCTGGTCTGAACTGGAACAGACCTTTTCCATAGCAGCTTGGTCCGAACTTCTACCCCTTCCCCACTGCTTTACTGGGTGGCCCTGGCAGGCACAAAGCAGGGAAAGACAGAGGTGGAAATCAGCAGCCTGGGGTATGTAGAGTTGCCTCTTTCAGTGCTAGCTCCAGTTTACACCAACTCAATGTATTTATGATGCTACAGCGCATACACCTGCATGAATCACAGGTTGGCAGTCTACCTATTATATGTCAATGAAAACAAACTCCTGAATAACTAAACTTAAGATCCCTTTCCAAATTTACCAAGGAGTCCCACAATGAAATCAGCTCACAGAGAGACTCATCATCCACAAGAGTTCATCATCTGCAAACTGCCTGGACAACCACTGCTTTTCAATGTGCTGAGGTGTTCAGTAAAGGACAAACATGCAAGGAGACACATGTCTGTGCGCAATGTCAAAGCTTTTGCACAGCTTTCTCTATTGGCAAAATACACAAACTCCCTCCCTTGCAAGTTGGACTTTCCAAGCATGTAACCACTGTTTGGGTCTAGGGAGGTGTCGCATGCCAGCCACAAGCAGCTGGATGTTCTCAGACACCATGCATCTTCTCAAGGACACGCACATCTGTTGCCAGCAAGACTGCCCTAAGCTACAGCCAAAACTTCCGCAGGACACCTACCTGCTAGGGGAACTGGCAGTAGTCTGAATTTCCAACTATGTCCCACAAGGGGGTAATGTTGAGCTGAACAAACTCAGGGCTGAGCCACATGGAGGAAGGGCTGCTCTTACCACTGTCACCTCTCCCCTGGCACGGACTCAGCTGGGCTCGTTTTCCCCTCTTCTGAAGGGGTATCACTTCTGGTACTGCTCAGTGGCACTACCAAGATCTCCATCTCACTGCTTACATCTGGGTCACCTCAGAACAGGTGATAGGTGCCACCACTTGTGGGACAGAAACTTTGAAGATTTGAGGAAAGCGCAGAGCTGTGTTACACACAACAGGAGCGGATCTCTCCGCTTGTTATTAACCACCCTCCAGTTTGACCTTGCCACTGGAGTCAAGAGACCGTGGGAGCATCCACCGCTTTGAGAAATCTGTTCCCTAAGAAGCAGTTTCCAGACTAAAACCCACATACGTTCCTCCCCTTGCCCAGCTGCACATGCTGTGCCCTAGAAAGAGCATTGCCTGTTCTCGTGACCATTCAAAAGAGGATTTGAGCAGCTCAAAGACATGCACAAGCACTCAGGGTGTGGTTGCACAGCAGTTTAAGTTGATGTAATTCACAGTGGCTGCAGTCCCACCCTCCTCCATGTGCTCCTACCCCATTCCCTTAAGCCAACTTTTTTTTTTTTTTTTTTTTTTTTTTTTACGGGGCCCAATTCACAAACACCCTT